TAGCAACTTTGTTGGAGCGTCAGGGAGACCATGTGGAATTAAAATCTCTTAGGCAGCCGGATTTCAGGCAGCCAAACCGTAAGTTTTATCGAAGGTATGAAGATCAAGATGGTGTGGCCTTTTGTGTAAGTTTTATGTCTATCAGTGGCCAATTGGCAGGCAGGTAGGGAAAAAAAGGGGAACAGAATGTAGGCCAGGAGCCCTGTAAACGGCATCTGGTGCCGGTGGTGAAGATGATTACACTTCACAAAACCTAGTTCTAGTAACACACTCTTAGGCGACATTGGAGGAAATGAGGGCACATAATTGTGTGAATAAGTGGATGAGCCATATAAGTGGGGTAAAGAGAAAGAGAAGTGGCACTAGATAGTAGAATAAAAAATAAGGGCAAGAATGATGCCACAACGGTTACATAGAAAATTTGTAAAGGGGATTGCCTTTACTTGACTCTGATAAATTGTAACTCTGTATTTACGATAGTGCCTCGCACTGGCGATGCCGACTACGATGCCAGCGAAACGTTTAGGAATGTACCCAGCCAATGTTCAACTGCTGGAAATTACGAATATTATGGCAGAGGACACGGGACTATAAACGTTCCACAAGGTTTCCTTGACGCTGCGACCAAATTGCGAAAAACAAGGTCGAACCAACACGATAACACCTTCGGCCAAAAAAAACCAGCAGTTAGATGTTTAGTGGTCGGAAACAAAGATTATTAAAATCCCATCTTAAGATAAGTTTGAAACTCTTGCCTCAACTACCTTTATTTAGGACTCTAATTAGTTTTAATAGTATCTAAACTAGTTAAGTTGAGCAAAATGTATGTAATGTTATGGACAAGCATGTTACAAAGTGATTTACCTTAACCAAAGTTGGTCAGTCAAGATCAAAATAATTATATTCTTATTGATACCAGACCAGTGTATTGTACAAGAAGTAACATTGTTTTTACTAATAGAGGCAATGACAATATGGCCTGGTATATTCATTGTAAAGGCTAGAGTATCACCTTTAGAGAAAAGCGAGTCGGCAGGTTGAGAAGTGAGGCTCGGCTGCGCCAAGGAGAGAGCTCGTGTCGCAGAATTATGCGATTGCCCTGGAGCAGAGGCCACTGTGGCAGCAACGCTGGCTGTGGTGCTTGGCAAGGCCTGCTGCAAGTGTTGCTGATGCCTTAACTGTCCAGAGGATGCGGCAGGGGCAGTGGAGGTAGTAGTAGAAGAAGAGATAAGTGATGTGGAGGATGTAACACGGTTAGTAATATCGTTGCTGGTAGGTGCAAGTCCTGATAAGCCCGAGGTTAATCGTGGTTGGCCAGGGCGCAGGAGAATACCTCCACTTGGTCCAGATTGAGTCAAATTGGCATAATATCGAGAAGAGTAGCCTGGACTCGAGACAACTGTAGCTGGAGAAGAACCGCTGCTAGTGGTAGTAATCCCAAGTAGTGATGGAGATCCAGCAGCCCCACGTAGACTGATACCTTGTCGAAGTAGCATACCAGTGTCAAGACCATGTTGGCCGACAGCATAGTCACCACCACACTCGCTGAAACCAGATATCGAAGTTACAGAAGCCTCAACCATTCGATATGACTCATCTTCAACATAATACTCGTTCTTTTTGCTAACGCTGTTGACCGCCTCAGACAGTCCAGTTTCAGGCCCGTCTCCCTTACTCAGCAAACCCATCACAGACCCCTTGGATTCGGGAGGCGAGTGTTGTGTATTCACTTCAGGAATGCCTGAAAAGAGGGCAGGCTGACGACGATGAAGGCGTGGAGAGAGACTGTTGTTGGATCCAGCAATCGGACTTCTCCTTTCCAAGGGCCCGGCTAGCTGAGCAGAACTGGAAGGTGGACGAGGAATTTGAGCAGGATGATGGGTCATAACCATGCCAGCGGAAAAAGCAGCCATCAAGGCAGACTAATAAAAAAAAGAAAAAGAATAGAGATATTTCAGAGAGTTTAGAATGTTTATTATGGACTAAACAGGAAATATATTTGTAATGCTTTATTGGGAGTAAAAATTTATGAAAGCAAAAAGCCTTTATCAAGAATGGAAAATTACTTTGTTGCTATGGAAAAGACTAAATTGGACCGATACAGGATTATGGAAAAATCGGTAAGTTTGCGACGTGGCCGCCACGCGAAGTTTAGTTGAATAAAAAAGCCAGGATTATCGCTTCACAAGATTTTGAAAACTTCGGTATCGCCGACAAGAAACACGCAATATCTCGGGATTAATAAGAAAGGGGCATGAGAAAAAATTGAAAAGATATCTTAGGGTAAAGTCATGGTAAGCACTTTATGTAGTTTTTCAAGTGATAGCAGTCACTAATCAATACGATGATATTGATATGATGGTGAATTTATCCTTGATTAGACTTGATTCAGAGGCCACTGTGATCCTAAATGGCTAAATTTTTATTTTAAAAATGAAAGACACTTTTAGAAGACATCTTTTGCTAAGTCATAAATATATCCGACAATTTCCCTAGGGAAAGAAAACTGGCAATGGGGGTTCAACTAATTTTAAGAATCTTGTAATACCAGGAACCAATAACAGAAGCAAACTATTGAGGATAAGTAGAAATCGACAATAATAATTAAGTACTACTTCGAGTAGAAAAAAAAGGAGCGACAGTGATAATTGACAGAAAACAATAAACCTGAAAGCTGTAAAATAGAATACGAGAATGGGCCATATATCATTTACAAAAGGACCCAACTAGTAAGATCAATGGAACGCTGGTCACCATGATTAAAGATATGCATAAGAACATAGAAATCTAAAGATGGATGTGGAATTCAATAATAATAAATGCATGACCACCAATAGCCTACAGACTACCGAAAATGAACGAAGGGAAACCGCTAAAGCCCTATTTCATTTTAAGGAAATGAAAGAATGGTATTTGAATTTTTCGTCAATGATATGAATTGGCCTCAAATTTCCATAGAAGTTCACATAGACTTGGCCCCCAAAGGTACCCTCCTCCTAAACTGCAGGTTCTACCTCGCACAGACCTCATCGGTATCCCCAGCGGGACTCGAAACAGTAGTTGTGCAATGTATAACCTCTTTGCGTTAACAACTACCCCACACTGTCGCGAATGCCCTTGGGTCACCGGGTAGATGTGAATTTCAAGGAAGACCATGCTGATAGTCAAAAGCAAGTAAAGAGTCAAACACAAATTGCCAAAGGTTATACGTTTAAAACACAAGAAATTGAACGACAGGTTATATAACACAGTTAAAAATGCATATGAAGTTTCTCAAAGCATCAAAAACATAGGAGTAGAAGCAATAAAATTATTGGTAGGTTTTGATGTAGGTTCTATGTTTACAAACATATCTGACAAAAGGCACTAATAGCTCTGCTGGAAATCTTGGATGTGGAAGAGGATAGCATAGAAGCGGAGGGGATCAGAAGAGAACCTTTAACACGACTGGTCAATAAAGAAAATAAGGAGCCTTGGTCTATTGCATATTCAAAGGCAAAATTTATAAACAAAAAGTTGGACCCCCTATGGGATCGGCATTC